CCTTTCTTACTACTGTGGCCAGGATTCTGCTTAATTCTTTATTTCGCTTCCTATCTCTCATTGCCTCTCTATCTTCTGCCTCTCTTTTCTGTCTTTCTTCTCTTTCTTCTGGCGTCTCTCTCTTGTTAAAAATTCTCTCTGCCTCCCTCAAGAGGTCTCTGAGACCTTGCCCCTGCAAATTTTCTATTCTCTGGAGCTTACTCCTGATATCAGGGGCTGATTGCCATATGAAAGACATAGAAACACTCACTTCTTGATCAGGACTATCCGGGTCGAAGGGAGTGTACCTGCGATATGCCTCTTTAAGTCTTTCTAAAAACACAGTGGGCGGCTCATTGGTTCCCTGCATTACTGATCTTACCTTGGCCAAATTGGTGGGGTGTCTCCCTGCCCCTTGGAGGCCCGCTACAAGCACCTGGCGATAAAGACGTAGGTGTTCCCTACCTTCAGCCGTGTTGAAATCCCAAGCAGGTCTGGTGAGGGGAAAGGCAGCCTCGATCTCGTTTGGCAGTTGGGTTGGTCTCCCGTCTGCCCCCGGGACATGCTTTTGGGCTTCCAGAATGACTCTCTGCTTTTCCTCCGTAGTTAGGCCTTGCAGGAGCTGTTGGCAATCGTCCCACGTGGGTTGGTGGGTAAGGAGGATAGATTCTATCAGGGCTGTTAGGGCCTGCGGGTCTTGGGAAAAGGACGGGTTATGAGTTTTCCAGTTATACAGGTCTGAAGCGGAGAAGGGCCAATACTGTAACTGGTTTCCCTCCCCTCCTGCGAGTCGGAGGGGCAGGATGTGTGAGGAATCTCCTTGTCCTCTCCTGTCCCTGAGTCGCCCTGCGATGGGGGAGGGAGCGACCTCTGGTCCCTCTGCTTGGGCGTCGTTTGGAACAGCCGCAGCGGCCTGCAGAGGAGGGTGGTAGGGAGGGGGATTCTCACTCAGCAGATCAGCAGGAACACTCTCATCAGGGGGCAGAACAGGCTTTGGTTTCACCACAACAGGAAACAAGGAGACGGTCGGAGGGTCCGGGTTAGGAGCAGAAGGGAGGGGGACTCTTCGTGAAGGACTGAGAAAAGGAGTTACTCACGGTGGTGGGTCAAGGGAAAGGTTTTCCCAAGTAACTATGTAAGCCACTTGGTCCGGATGCCCCATTAGTCCAGGGGAGAAGATTTTAGCTTTAACCTGCAAAATTACCTCAGAATCAAAAGTCCCATCCCGAGGCCAACCAACATTAAACATTGGCCACTCAGAGGAACAAAGGGTTATCCACTGGTGCTTCTTGATTTCCACAGATTGATTGTGAGCTCGGCCTTTAACTTCTTTCCAGTGACCTAGAGTTAAACTTAGGGGGGTAGTTAGCTGTTGTCCCATCTTGGGGCCTTCTAAAATTACAATAAAACAGACAAACAACAGAACCAACAAAAATAGACAGCCAGCGACGAGGTATCGCTTAGCGCGACCCCAGAAGAAAACTGAAAGAACAAAGTCAGATGGCGGGGTTGACACTTCGCTCCTCAGGTGCACGTATCCTTCAGATGCGTGCTGAGCCCCAAAGTATCGGGCTCCCCAGACCATGGGGGGGCCGGTCGCGACCAACACAAATACCCAGCAACACAGAAACACAGACACTGACTCAGGTGTGCAGCTCAGTATAACAGATGACAAGGAAATTCCTTGTCCAGACGAGACCCACAGAAATCCTACAAATGAACAAAAAGTTCTACAGACGTGGGTCTCACAGTCACAGTCCTGGAGCGTCCCCCAGGCTGACAGGCAAAGCTCAAAGACTCGTCAGTCTTGCTCTTGCACTGTCCAGAAATACAGACGGGATCCCCAGACTCTACAGATGCAGCATCTTTCCTAGAGGGATCCAGACCTTAGGAGAAAGCCTGAGAGCATCTGATCCTCATCCGACTTGGGCCTCTGTGGGAACTCCTGAGCATCAGGACTAAAGCCATCTGGTCCCTCCAGTATAAAATCAAAAGAGACCTGAAGCCTAGACCAACCAGCTTTTTGTAAGAGTGAAACCACTGAGGACAAGTCAGCCTTCGGGTTGCAACAGCAAGAGGTTTATTTAGTACACAGGTACCTGTGGGCACAAAGTCTCCTCGGAGGACTTGCGCGCCCCCATGCTGGGTTTTTGCACTTTTATAGAGCAGAAGTGGGGTACAGAAGCAGAAGCATGGTTATTGGCCCATTCAAACGAGTATAAAGCATGAGGAAGTTAAGTTGCTAAATTCTGGGTGGGTGACTTATGGTACAGATCTGATTTCCTGGTATCGAGCCCCGGGGATTGCCAGATGCAGATGGCTTGACCACTACGTCCTGTTTTTCTGATAAGCTAGTTTCTCAATGCTTGACTTCTTGTCAGGCATTCCTATCAGGTGGCCTCATGGCGCCTAGGTTTTTTCAAAGGTACATCAGCACATACATGGTAATTAAGTACAATAACAGAGGGCAGCAAACAGCAAACATAATAGAAATCCAAAGGCTAAAGGAATGTAAAAGTGTTAGGTCTATTCAGGAATGTGATAGTTTTGGAAAACAAAGACTTCTTAAGCTGGATAAGCTTAGGGGGCAGGGGAAGATTTTTACTTCCCCATTCCTTAATTATCATCACATTGCAAAATCCTTTAGTATCTGATAAATTCTACTTCCACAATAATTTATTAATCTTTCAAAATTTGAGTAACCACATTACCGCAATTGTGAAATCTGAACTTTTTTCTCTAAGTATTTTTTGTTCATTTTTATGTCTTTTCAAGCCAATTACCTGTATATTCAATTCATCCATTTTTGTCTATTTTGTTTTTTAAGATAGGGTCTTATTCATTGGTGTGGTAGCCTGGACTGTACTATGTAGGAAGATTGTCACATGTTCAAAGTCAGCCTTGTCTACATAATGAGTTTTAGGTCATGAAATAAAATTAAGAATTTTAGTTGGGCTAACTGCATTTCAGTAGCCTGGTGCCCAGTGCCTATTTTGTTGGACAATGCAGGTAGAGGTCACAAGGTCACAAGGTCACTCTGTCTTTCCAAAGTTCTGGTAAGTTCTATTGTACTCAGATACTGGCTACAGTGCTTAAGGATCAGGTTACAAAGTACTGAGTCCTGACATCCCTTCATGATGCTTTCTTATGTTTGGATTTCCTATACATTTTAGAGAGAATAGGATAATTATATTAATATGTGGAAAAGCTAATGTTTAAGGCAAATAGGTAATTAATTTCTTAAAAATTACTTTTCACAACTCAGAGGAACTTTTTTTTCTTTTTTTTTGGAGACAGGTTCTCATTATATAGTCCAAACTGGTCTCCAACTCCTAATACCCCTGCCTGGACCTCTCAAATTCTGGGATTACAAGCATGCACCACAATGCCCAGCACATAAGAGAAATATTTTTATTGAAGGAGACTTGTTTTCTAGATACATCCATGGTAAGATATGAATAATGGTTTCCACAGTCAGTTACATATTTTTATTAGCTCTGTCCTTGGTTTTATAAAGTGCTTTTTGGGGGGAGTGATGTTTCCTTTTTATTTCATCCTCATTAGTCTCTTCTGCTTTCTTTGTTAGACAAGCTTCACAATGGAACTGTTCCTGGGCTACCTTTAACATCACTGTAGGAAAACTGAGAACCACAACTGGGTACTCCAAAGTAAGGTGATGATGTAGTCTCTGTAGTTGACAGAACATTTTATATGTGGTTTACTGCCTACACTTTCCTTTCTCTGTTCTTACACTGTCAAGTCATGATAATAGTCACAGAGAAGGGGACTTCAAGATTCATGTATGTGCTTAGAGCATGCCAGGAGCCTGAGCTGAGTGGTGATTCTGTGGTCAATATGTCCTGGCAATGGAGCAGCTCAGTGCTATGGCACCACTGAGGCATCTGGAGCCGGAGTTCTTTTCAGAGACTATCAGCCTGTGCCACAGAAAAAAATAAGATGAGTCATTTTGAAGCAAAGTTGGAATTTATTAGAAGACAGTTTCAATATAGATTATAGATTCAGGCACAGACAATAAAGGAGACAGCACTGCCTTTGGAAAAGGACAACACACACACACATGCATACACACACATCCAGCATGTATGTAGCCCTGGCTTCAATCACACACACACACACACACACACACACACACACACACACACCTTTAAAAAGATTCAGAGTTCAGAGACCAGAGGGATGGCTCAGTGGTTAAAAGCATTGGCTGCTCTTGCAGAGGACCGGGATTTGGTTCCCAACTAACAACTGTCTGCAACTCTAGTTCCAGGGGATCTGATGTCCTCTTCTGGCCTCCAAAGGCATTGCATTCATGAGTGCACTTACATACATGTAGGCAAAACACATATACATAAAATAAAAATAAATAAAAATTTAAAAGTTAAATAATAGATTCTAGGCTTGACAATCTCCTCTAAAGTCAGGCGTGGTGGTATTGTGCCTGTAATCTCAGCATTCGGGAGGTGGAGGAAGGAGGATCAGTAGCTTAAGTTCATTCTTCGCTACTTAATGGAGTTCAAGGTGAGCCTGGGCTACATGTGACCCTGTCTCAAAAAAAAAAATCTATAACTTACTAAAACAACAAACAAATCCAGCTGGGCTCTGGTGTTTAAAGACTGTTTCTTGGGGTCACTTTGATTTGACTGTGAAAATACCGTGAAGCCCAGCTGGGATGGTATGTGTCTCCCCTCGGTACCTCAGAATGAGTTTTAACAAGTGTTCACATGGCTCTGACACTAACTTGTGGGAACATGGGTCCTTTCACTTTATTCTGTCTTTGCACAGTAACTAACTGCCTCTCCTAGGGATGAGGAGATACTCCTTCATGCTACTGCAAGACAGGGGATCCAAGAAGCCCAGAAATGTCTGGAAAATTCCATTTAAACTGAAAGCAAGCTCTTTCTAGGGCATGGTGTGGTGCTTTTAATCCCAGCACTCGGGAGGCAGAGGCCCACCTGGTCTTCCAAGCAAATTTTGGGCTAGCTAGGGCTACATAGTGAGACTCTGTCAAATGTAAATAAATAATAAATGCCAACTAAAGGAACGAGGAATTTTTATAAACTGTAACTCATGTCTTGCAAACTTTAGAACACGAGATCCTTTGATCTCATCTCTCTTGTCCACAGTGGAAGTTCTGTGGAACTTCCTTTTTTTAAGAAAAGTTTATTACAGTTTTATTTATTTATTTATTTATTTATGGTATGTGGCATGGGTGTGAGGGTCAGAGGACAGCTGGTGGAAATCAGTTTTCTCCTGCCACGTGGATTGAACTTAGGTCATCAGGTCTTGCAATAAGCCTTTATCCCCTGAGCCATCATGCTGGCCCTTTGTGTAACTTTTGATGGCGGCTGCTTTGACTCATAATTGACACCCTGCTGCTGACATCACCAATTTATAGCACACAATCCTGTCAGCAAAGTGCTGCTTCTAAGTTTTCATGGAATCTGAGTTTGGTTTCTTCTGGATGGAGGATATTCTAGCTGAATTCCTCTCCTGTTCTCTCCAGCCATGCTTTATTTAAGCTAGAGAACATTCTAGGCAGTGGTGGAGGGAAAGGAAGAAATCTCATTTTACCTCTCACCAGAGATTTGGCTTCTTAAATACGTTGATCAGTACCCACAGAGCTACTGAAGGAGTTAATGATACTCAGCCTAATCTGTGACATGTGGTGTTGTGCTTAAAATAAGCTTGTTTTCGTGTCTCTACACTTCAGTTCTGCTCCATTAGGTTTCTATGGTATTCTATTCTATTCACTTTTTAGTGTTACAAAAAGTCCTTTATAGGTGGAAAAAAATGGTTGGGATTGTTGTCATTGAAAGGGAAAAGAAGGGCCTGGAGAGATATTTCTGTAGCTGCCCTTGCAAAGGACCCAAGTTCTGTTTGTAGCACTCATTATCGGGCAGCTCACAGCTGCCTGTAACCACTCCAGGGATACAACACTGTCTTTCCCACTCCAAGGGCACCTGAACATACACACAATTTAATTTTTTTATTCATTATTTTTGTTTTATGTCTATGAGTGTATTGCCTGCATGTATGTAAGTGCACCTGTGTCATGCAATGCCCACAAAGGTCAAAAGAGGGCCTCAGATCCCCTGGAACTGGAGTTACAGACAGTTGTTAGCTGCCGTGTGGGTGCTGGGAATTGAACTCGGGTCCTCTGCAAGATCAGTCAATGCTCTTAACCATTTAGCCATCTCTCCAGCCCCCATACACACACAATTCAATAATAATAATAATAACAATAAATCTAAAAAAAGGAAAAACAATAAAGTATAAGAGCTAACAGTTATCAAACTTCCAATGATAAGATATTTTTCTAAACACTTGTAAGTATTTTAGCCCAGTGTGGTGGGCCACACCTAA